ACGGTAACATAATTTAGACATTATAATTGAAATATTATATGGTTCGCTTTAGTAGCACTGTCTCACTCACCTGTCTATGCAACAAATCTTTGTATTATTAATTAATTTATTTTTAAGCATTCTGTCAAATGACAAGAGAATGCTATAAGGTTGATTTCTTTTTTAAAAATGTATTTATTTATTTATTTATTGTAACGCGCAATACCTTTGTTCCACAAATGATGTGTATAAGCTAACAACTGTCCTTCCTAGGCTTTGTAACGTCTGGTAACATGATGAAAAAGCTCATTTTAGAATCTGTTACCAGCCGCTTTCACACAGAAATGCTGAAAAATTGCCATATCCATGGATCTGTCATTTATTTTTATATTGCAGCGGGGGCATGTCCTGCTTCGAACTGGAATTCATAGTAATTCCTCATTGCCTCTTTCAACTCATCAGTGCGGCACTGATGTCGATGTAAAGGATGAAGGGTATATGAATGTGATTACTGTTTTTTGTTAGTGTGCAGGTTCTTGCTGCACATTTCTTTTCAATTTGTTGCTTAAAGGGTTCAAAGCACCCTGATGTAGAATATATCCATCGTTCCGTTATCTGAACTGCTTATCCTCACAAAGGTCGCAGGCGTGCAGTAGCCTAAACCAGCAGTCTTCGGGCAGTAGGCGGGGGACACCCTAAACTGGTTGCCAGGCAATTGCAGGGGGCACATAGAGAAACAACCATTCGTGCGCCCAATCAGACCTAGGGACAGTTTAGAGCATTCAATCAACCTACCATACATGTTTTTGGAAGGTGGGAGGAAACCAGAGTACCCGGAGAAAACCCACTCAGTCATGGGGAGAGCATGCAAACTTTACACAGGAAGGACGGAGCCCAGAATCAAACCCACAATCTCGCACTGTGAGGTGGATGTGCTCACCAGTCGCCCACGTATATGCAGATGCTAATTAGCATGATTGTTAAGCTAGCAGAAAAGTGCCTGATTGACTTTGTCCCCTCCGTTTTTGTTTGCATACAGCGAGCGACTGCAATAAGTATTTTGCACATCACAATTTTTATTTCTTAATACATTTCCAAAGGTGCTACCAGATTCTTTTTTATTTTTCTTCTAAAAGGACTCAGTAACCAGAATGATCACCAGATTTGAGCACCATATTTCTGCTTATTACATTAAAATAAAAAATCAGTCAAAAACAAAACAAATGGCACACTACCTTGAAAATGCAGATTTTCACATTTAAACACTGACGTCTTGACAAGTCTCACGAACACCAACTTAAAATTAAGACTTTCATAGTTTTTAGCAAAGTAAGTCCCAAGACCTAGAATTGTCAATTTAAGTATGACTTGAGTCAATGTGTAGCGGGTGCAAAACCAATGAGTCAGCTGACCTTGCTCAGAAACTTCTCGGCCCCTTAGAACGTGGCGAGATTATCAAATAATCAGGGCGTGTGTTTGGCCCGCCGCAAAGTGTCAACCTTCAAATGCGGAAGGCAGCCTCTATTAATAAAGCGGAGAGTTAAGCTCCAGGGTTTGCACGGCCTCCGTGCCTGCTTTCCACGCGGTCAACCTGGACCACGTTTACCCGGTGGGACTGCTCGATGGTTGAAGCTGCATGGATGCATGATATGCTCAACACACATTTGGGAGGGTTCTAAAAAGTAGCATCATTCAAATTCAAGAGATTGCACCATACAGTATTGTACTTCATGAAAACATAGAATTAAATACAAAGTAAAACGGGCGGCCCAGCGGTCGACTGGTGAGCGCGTCCCTCTTTTTGTTTTGGATTGTGTGTAAACATTCAGCCGGCTGACCTTCCTAAGGTAAAGTTATGTGGTTTGGTTAATGCCGAACATGGCCCAGTGCCCAAAACTTGGTGATGGAGAATCATGAATGGAACGCTCCACGTCTGAAATATCCTCAAGCTGAGAGTGACAAATGCGACAAATCTGCGCAGAAGTGGGCGTGAGGAACGTGACTCAGGTTAAGTGGCGGATCTTCTTGCTTGTGTAATAGCTGAGTGGAGGCGACAGCTGAGAATGCCGCGTGTCAGGAGGGGGGTTTCACAGGGGAGGGAGTGTTTATCGCTTGTCTTTCTCACCAATCAAATTACAGTTAGCGCTCCACTGAGGACGAGAACACACTTTGCTTCCTTCGTTCACTCGCAATAAAACCCAAAACAAATGAGTAAAACCAAACTATGAGACACGTTCTACTCCATGGAAGAGAGAATAAATTCACCCCACATCATTTACTTTTTTTCACTCATTCCATACCAAAACATAAAAATTAAATTTGGGTGTGTTTTTTTTTTTTAATGAAAAAATATTAAAAGGGTTGGCACACCTCCTTAGTTAGTATCAAGGCTATGCGAATGATTTCAGTATGATAAATCATCTACTCCATGGAAGAGAGAATAAATTCACCCCACATCATTTACTTTTTTTCACTCATTCCATACCAAAACATAAAAATTAAATTTGGGTGTGTTTTTTTTTTTTTTTTTTTAAATGAAAAAATATTAAAGGGTTGGCACACCTCCTTAGTTAGTATCAAGGCTATGCGAATGATTTCAGTATGATAAATCATCACTAGATGGCAAGGGTGGCTTTGATCATATCTTGGTCGCACGGAGTGTGAGTGGGCGTGAGTTGTGGTACGGCGATGCGAGGTCGTGAGGTGACGTGCAGAAGCAGTGTGGTGTTGAGAACATGGGGAAATACTGGCAGCTAACGCTACAAAGCCCTTTTTCAAGTAAAAAAAGATGACAATGTCCCATCATCCTTGACAAACATACACACACACACACACACACACACACACACATGCAGTTCAACATTCATGAAAACTTCATGCAAAGGTCATGCATCAGCGCAGTTGTTATCTTGTAATCTGTTATTTTGCAAAGTGACCGTCTCGATGTTGTTATTTATTGAGAAAGCATTGTTGATGGATTTGAGGGATCACAAATGCAAAAAAAAAAAGAAAGTTCTGCTTGAAATGCATCCTCTCACAAAAAGCTTTTTTTCTCCGAATTGTTCTTAGAAAGTAGTATTTTCAAGAAACTTAACAATGTTCAACTGCTGTTTACTAAAGAATGGTCAAAGGTAGAAATGTACTTTTATTTCTTGATGAAAGAAGAGGTTAAATCTTTCTTCTGGCAGGTTCCCTGCTTATATAGCTAAGGAACTCAATTTTCTGTAGGTCTTCAAAAATTAGTCTCCCAAATTGACAAAAATGGCTGGCTTATTTTTATCCTAGAGAATGGTGAAGGGCTTGGATTTAAATAAGTTAAATTTCTTCCTACTCCTTTTTGGACTAGCTGCACATTTTGGGATATTAACACTGTATATTTGTTTTTCTCAGCTCTTCTTTTTTGTACTCTGTGTTTGAAAGACACTTCAGTCCATTCATTCATCCATTTAAAATAAGATCAGAAAACTTTTATTTGACTCACAGTGGAGAAATTCCCGATTTACAGCAGCAAAATTATGAAAGGGAGAAGTAGAAGAACAAAAGTCTATGAATAAATATACAGTAAATGATAAAATATAAATATAAGCATCTTAAAAATGGGTGAGTGGGGGTAAGTCCAGGTTTTCAGGTCTGTCTATTCATTTCATTTCATTCTATTTCATTCATTCATTCATCAACTTCAAGCAAACAAAATGTTCATATTGAAATGTTTTGGAACTATAGTTTGCGGTATTTACAACGAATACAGGCAATTATAAACATTTTATACCCAAACACCCAAAATACCAAAAAAAGACGATACAAATATTTGAGCACACGCAATGTGAATGATCAGTCCTGAGATGACGTGCAGTGGCTGATTTAGCATTTTTACATTTAAAAATGATTAAATCAATGGCAGTTGTAAACCGGCACAACGTTGACTGCAGTTATTGTGGTGAGGGCTAGGCATAGGTGATATGAGACGCGACAGGAAACCTGGCTCTTTTTCACCTATCATGTCAACATTTTTGAAAGTGTGTAAAGTAAATGAAGTTTGTGTCCTTCCCATGTGCAGGATGACCAGGTGGTTCTGCAGTGCACGGCCTCCATCCTGAAGGAGCAGCAGATTAAACTTTGTCTGTCCTGCGAGGGCTTTGGGAACCGCCTCTGCTTTCTGGAGACCACGTCCAATGCCCAGGTAACTAATTACTGATCTAGAAGGATCCTCTCAGCTGATTCCGTAATTCCAAAATCAGGCTACATGATTTTATTATTATTTTTTTTTTCTTTTTTTTTGTTTGTGGTTCGCAACTGTTACGTATGTCTTTGATGGGGTGAGTGGCCACAGTAACAGTCCCCCGTCATTGGATGGCATTCTTTTCTCTCAATCAGTCAACGTTAAGGAACAATTGGTCGAAGCGTCGAAATGTCCTTAGATGCCAGTTCGACAATCTTTGATTATGTCACCCTACCCGGCCGGGGTATCGGTGCTTGTTCTGCAATCGGCGACTCATAATCTGCCATGTTTGTCAGTCTCACTTTGTGTCGTCTGAGCTCGACATGAGTCACATAAATCTCATGTCTGACAATCTCCTAGTTTTGCAAAAGCACACTCAACACGTTCATTTTCTTTGAGAAACAAATCAAACGTCACACTAGCTTGAAAAATGCAGATTTTCAACTGTAAATGGTCAAAAGTTTTGACTTTATCCAAGTCAAAGTTCGGTGGAATCTTTGATCGGTTTCCGCCAAGCAATTCCCTTGTCCGATTGGTAAGACACGGCCTGCACTTCCCATTCCCGCGGTTTCATTGCAGTCGTTGATGGTCTTTCCAATTACAGGCCCAAATGACACCTCACAACAATTAATATAACTAACCTCATTCATCCAAATATGATCATTGAAAAAATATATAAATGACACTTTATTTGATCAATTGCCTTTCATCTGGATAAGAAATGGTTCAACAAATGAACAAACAAATAAATTAATAAATTGTCCTTCCAACTCAAGTCGTGACTCGTGTCCCCAGGCTCTACTTTTTCCCTCCCTAAACTGTCATTGCCTTCTTTTTTTTTTCCCCCAGAAAGTGCCTCCAGACTTGGCAATATGCAACTTTATTCTGGAGCAGTCATTGTCGGTGCGTGCCCTGCAGGAGATGCTGGCCAACACGGTGGAGATGACCGAGGTAGGTGTCGGAAAAGGGTGTCGCGAAAAAGATGGCAATGGTACAAAGGTTCTCGGCTTCTCGCAAAATAGTTGTGAATAGCGTATTTGCGCATTTATTGTTTGGGAGGGTTTACAGTATTTCTCTCTCTCTCTCTCTCTCTCTCTCTCTCTCTCTGTCTCTCTCTCTCTCTCTCTCTCTCTCTCTCTCTCTCTCTCTCTCTGTCTCTCTCTCTCTCTCTCTCTCTCTCTCTCTCTCTCTCTCTCTGTGTGTGTGTGTGTGTGTGTGTGTGTGTGTGTGTGTGTATATATATATATATATCTCAAGTGCAAATGGCGGAAGAATGTGTTTATTAAGGGTGCGCCTTTGTTTGAAAGCATTTCTTTTTTTTTTTAGAGTGATCTCTCTCCTATTCACAAATTCATCTCTTTGTGTGTTTTTTCTGGGTCACTATATGAAGAAATATGATATTTCGACCCTTTCACATTCCGTTTTTTTTTTTTTTTGGAAGTTGATGAAATGTAGGTACCATACAGACTTGTGCTGTGTTAATTTTACAATGTTTTTTTTTAATAATGATATGTGGACACCCTCCCCTTCAGGCAATCGATTTGGACAAATGGGTATGTCTGTGAACATCTATCTACTGTAACTATCTATATGTCTGTTGACACTTTTTGTGGCGTCTTCACTTTCCTGTCCTTGCACATGAAAAAAAAAGTCTCCATCTGTGTCCATTTCCAGCAGGGTTGATGGATGGATGTCATGTTTCATCGATTGTATTTAAGATCAACCAATGTTGGTTTGAAGCAAATGTAATTAATTCCATTTTTTGATGTGTTAAACTTGAGGCGTAGTGTGCTGCTATTTATGCCTTTACTTGCAATGTAAGCTGGTATTGAACATATTTTCCTCAAATAGCTGTGCATACATTCGATTGAACCGATTAGTTGACGAGTCGACTTTACGACTCCACATTTAAAGCTTGAAGTCAACTAACTGCTCATCGCGTGTTTTGCGCCTCATTATCCCATCGGCCAAATAACAGAGAAGTTTCGACTTTCTTGTCTGCTGCCGTCGCCACTCTGTGGAGTGGCGAAATTTCCGGCCAAAAGGGCGACACGGTCTTGAGAGAGAATAATGGTTAGCCTCGCTAGCTTCGGTTATGCCGATTGCCGCCAGGGTTAAAAGATTCATACTCGCGGTATTTCAGGATTGCACAAAATGAAGGTTCAACTTTGCCAGCAAAATTTCATGCCCACTGATTCGCGGACAACCACTGTGATCACGAGAAATTGATTCATTTTTAAAATTCGCACCAATGAACATCAGAACACTTTTGTCGCTTTATGATACTGTACCGAAAGGCTTGTCTGACTTCAGCATATAGCCGTGCTATACTACAAGCGTGTAAAAATATCCATCCATCCATTTTCTAATCTGTTTATCCTCACGAGGGTCGCCGGGGGTGCTGGAGCCTATCCTAGCCGTCTTCGGGCGGTAGGCGGGTTACATCCTGAAAATGAATAAAAAACAAACAAACAAACAAAAAAACCTAGTAACTACTTATCTTTGTTCACTATTGTTCACATACTGACATTTACTATTGAGCCTATTTCAAGTTCCTTGCTGACCAAAACAGCAGAACCTACTGTATCAAAACATGAGCACGGTCTCTCAGATAAATGTTTGGAGTTTTATCTCATATTACACCGTATACTCGAGTTTGGGTTCTTGAGTTTTCTGTGTAAGATATTAACCCTTTAAGGGACAGCGGTTACTACAGTGGACATCTTATCATGTTATCGGGTTACAGGGTGCATGAAAGGGTTAAAATTGTTGCTAAATGTTGTTTTCTGTCTGTGATATCATCAGTGCCGTGTCTCGCCTGATGTCAGGACTTCTTTTTGCGCAGTCATTGTCACGTGACAACCGCATCTAGCTAAATGTGTGTTACCCTTCATACGCATTCGAAATAGAATCGTAATTACAAAACAAATGGAGGCAATATGGAGGCTTGTGCAATGTAAACCCTCCATTTGTACCATTAGCTCCATGTCGGGTATGTCAGATGAAGATTAGCAAGGCCTTAGCCGGAGGTTGAGAATAGCATGGCGTGCGGCCAAGTGGAGTGTCCCGCCAAGCTCTGTCGGAGGGGCAACAAGACACCACCAGGCTCACCCCCCCCACACCCATCACACACACTCAGAAAGACAAGCACCGCCACCTGTCCTGACCAACTTAGCGCCAATGCCGACCGGAGCTAACAGTGTGACGATAGTACTTGACATACCTGCCCCCACCGTGTGATCTTTGTGGATTAGGAATACTTAACCTTGCATAAAAGTCTATTGTCGTCACCCTGTTGGTAGGACTCAATTGTTTTGTTTTGTTTTTAAACAGATTTAAATCTGCTTCATCGTCATTCCTGCAGCCTTTATTTTTTTTTTATTATGAAGAGCAACAGAAATTGTTTTTGCATAATGGAAGAACAGAATAGTATCTTTATTTTCACCCAAAACACAAATGCATTTCTGAATGTTTTTTTTTAAATCTCACAGCATGTTGAGAAAACTCTACAGTATTCTAAAAGTATTGTTATGATTATTTACGCTACGATAAAAGATAAGTAAATGTATGAGATCGTTGCTGTCTAATTAAAAAAAAAAAGCAACTACATTTTGTGACTTTATTTCTGTCCATAACACAAAGAAAACAGGTCATTTTTAAAATAAAAATGGACATGAAATATAAAGAAAATCTGAAAATCACATGGCTTTCAATTGATAATGACAGTATAATAGTAAAATAAAGCAAGTATTAAAAAAAATACCAATTGACATATTACATTCTCTAAATTTGTACCTCGAGACAATATTGTAATGCATTTTTTGTCATGTTTTTTTTTTGTAGTAAATATGTCACCAATATGTAATCAATTCCAGTATTATTATTACTGTTAGTTATTATGTGTAATATATATTTATCTAGCCATCCATTTTACATTGTGCTTATCCGCATTCGGGTCTAGAGTGTGCTAGAGCCCATCGCAGCTGACTTCGGGCGGAAAACACAGGAGCACTCTGGAGCCGTCAATTGCAGAGCACCTACGTACAAATAAATAACCACTCATGCTCAGGTTAACCAATCGACATCTTAGTCTTGACTGAATGAACTTGACACACATTTGTGGAACGTGGAAGGAAGTTGAAGTAAACGAGGAACATAGGAACATCCACACAGTACTGTGAGGTAAAGGCCCTTAACTACTTGCCTCCCGTGTTGCCCATCGAAATATATTTTTATGAAATTTCATTGAAGTACAGCTCATGAACTCTCTTTGCGTATGAGCTGGGAGGAACCACTTTGTTCTACTGTCTGATTGTGATGCGTGTGGTGTCTATTTTGTTACCGTTTCCAAGAAGGAAGTGTTTCCTAACCTTTGCTGAGCCGCCAAATCCCCTATTTCGAATTAGATGAGAAAAATCTCACTCCCGAGCAAAAATGTCACAAAAATAGATAGGCTGAAAGAAATTATGGTCTTGTCTCAATTTACTCCTAAATGAGCAAAAGCTATTATTTAATTGTATGAATGGCATTTATTCAAGTTATTAAATTGTTCTTCCTGCCCCTGTACATCACTGACATAGATGAGTGAATATACATTATTTGCAATCAATAAACAGTACTTTTTGTCAAAATGCATCGGGGGGAAAAAGGATGGGGAGGGGGTGGGGGGGGGGAGATTGGATAACTTCCTGTGGCACCGTGGTTTGGAATCACTTCTTGAACGGATTTATGGAAGTTGTGTGTTAACTCCAGTTATCCATTTTAATCAATATTTTGTTGGTTGCCTGTACTTCCGCAGTCCTCGCAAGGTGGCGGCCATCGCACCTTGTTGTACGGCCACGCAATCCTTCTCAGGCACAACCACTCAGGAATGGTACGTTATGCTTTTTTTTTTTTTCCCTTACATCCCGCTTGATGTCAGAATTCTAAATCCAGCATTTCTCTCCAGTACCTGAGCTGTTTGACCACATCTCGCTCACTCACAGACAAGCTGGCCTTTGATGTGGGCCTACAAGAAGATTCCACTGGTAAATTGGAATTCTTATCTTTATTTTTGCAATGAACTGCTTCCCGTTCGCTGTTCACCTCTTCACATTTGTATGCGCTGAAAAACTCACCTATTTGCGTTTTTTTGTGCTCTTGGTAATGTCTTAAAGTGCCACAAGATGGCGTCAAAGCCTTGGCTAAAATGAAGGTAGTGTTTGGTGTAAGGGAAGTATGTTGAAATGATACATCACCACTATTTCAAGGCCTTTCCATATTAGGGACGAGCTCAGTTTAGCTTGGGTTGTCTTCCCACGTTTCCTTTTGCTCTGCTGATTTACTAATCGTAAATCGTAAAATCGTAAAACTCAAGCCAGCAAACGAGGACGCTCTCGCGATTGCTTGATAGTTGCTATTTTTACATGTTGTGAAGTAAACATATCCAGTACACACTTGCACTTTTGGTGCGTTTGTCCAAAATTATTTCTTTTTATGACCTGCGATTGGAAGGCAACTAGTTCAGGGTGTCCCCCGCCTGCTGCCAGAAGACAGCTGGGATAGGCTCCAGCACCCCCACGATCCTCATGAGGAAGAGTTTGAAATTATATTGACGTGTTTTGGGCTCATTGTTTACGGAATCGTTCTGGTTTGAATCACAACATGACTAGTGGCCGACATCTTTGTCTCATTTTCTTAAAAACATGTAATGGGCACGACAAATGTCTCTACAATCGTCCATGACAAACAAATAAATGACCCGTTCTCTTGCTTAAACTGCTTTTCTCACCAATAATCTTTCATTTGCATGTCGAGTTTTTAGGGCAAGTGTTGGCGTTTGAAACAGCATGTAAAGTTTGTCCCGTGTTGATGTCTTGAAATTTTGCTCTGTACGCGCAATTGATGGATATTTCTAACCGAAACTTGTCAGCCAGTCGGTGAAGGGGGTTCCCTGAGAAGAAGACAAAACAAAAGGATTGAGGAAATTATGAAATTTTACTGTAATTTGAAGGTGCTTTTTGACCAGCTTTTCTTGAGGCGATATCACACAAAAAATTTTTTTCCAACTCATCGTCCATTTTTCAAAATGCTTAAGTTGCCATTTCGACTAGACTCATCTTTTTGTCAGACTGTCATTTTTGGGAAATCATGCCTCTTTGCTAGTTCAAACTACAGTATTAATACAATGAACCTCCATTTTTGATGGGGCACATATTCCAGACCGGTGGTTCCCAACCGGGGTTCGGTGAGTCGGTCTCAGGGGTTCGACGGAGCCTCTGCCATGGAGGTTAAGACACAACGCGACTCAACATGTCAATGAGTTATGACATGCCTGCTTGTCCAATCAGTGCTGCGGGAAATTTAGTTCGCTGAGTAGTCAATGTGTGACTGTCGTGATAGTACGTCGTAAAATTTTAAAAAGTTATATTCTGGCATGAAATTTGATTTCCTGTTTTTTCTGTTCTTAATGAATGCGTTTTTTTTATGTCTTCAATTTGGAAAAAGTCATATTTTAGTTTTTCACTAATCAAGGGTTCGGTGAATGTGCATATGAACCGGTTGGGCTCGGTACCTCTAACAAGGTTAAGAAGCACTGTTCCAGACCCATCACAAAAATTGAAATTTAACATGGAGGGACTAATAGTTTTACCCATCTCATCTGCATTAAACACATTTCAATATGTTAAAACACGCTTTTTCAGCACACAGCGAGTAAGTATGATGTAATGTAATGTAAATGTAGAGCCTTCAGTCGCGCTGCTCCTCAGCTCTGGAACAATCTACCTGTGGACCTCCAAAACTGTACATCTCTCTCCACTTTCAAGTCCCGTCTAAAAACACACCTGTTCAGGACTGCCTACAACACATAATTCTTCCATTTCATCTGTTTTGTGATTTTATGTCCTGTTTTTATGTCATATTTCTCTTATTTATTTTTACATTGTATTTCCTTTATTGTCTGTACAGTGTCCTTGGGTGGCATGAAAGGCGCTTTTAAATAAAATGTATTATTATTTATTATTATAAAATGCGCTTGAATTAAAAAATGGGTAGCATCGATTACGGTCCAGATCCCCTGTGAATATCAAAGTTTATTATCTACTTTTTACCTTACCCTGGACATTGTGTTCTTGTCCGCACAGGCGAGGCGTGTTGGTGGACTATTCATCCCGCCTCCAAGCAGAGGTCTGAAGGTGAAAAGGTCCGTGTGGGGGATGACCTCATTCTTGTCAGTGTGTCCTCTGAGAGATACTTGGTGAGACTCATCGAAATAGAAACATGGCATATGTTTTATAGTGAGTTATTTTTGCTGAAGACCAACCCCCCTTACCCCCGCTCATCAGCACCTGTCCTACGCAAGTGGAGATCTGATGGTGGACGCCTCCTTTATGCAAACTCTGTGGAATATGAACCCCATTAGCTCTGGATGCGAACTCGCTGAAGGTGCAAACACGCACACAGATATGTATAAAAAATAACTTACAATTGAAGGGAATTTCCAAACACAATAAATTAAGCAAATACTTTAATAATGATGTAACTGAACACAGGCACCTGAAACAATGTGACAAACACTGGTTGAACAAAATAAATGTGATTTTATCTTTTTAGTCAAGCCTTAGTCAAAATCAGTCTAAAAAAATCCTTAATGCCGACAACAATCCAAATGAGTTTTTGTGGCCCTGCTTAATCGATACAAGCGTATCAGACTTCATGGTGGCCTGCAATCTTCTGTTTTCAGGGTTCCTGACAGGCGGTCACGTTCTCAGGCTGTTCCATGGCCACATGGACGAGTGTCTAACCATCGCTACACCGGAGGAAGGAGAGGAGAAGCGCAGGTGAGAAAAAGCAAAGACGCAAAGTTATGTGTTGAAGTAGCATCAATGTTTTTCCCCTCAGCTTTATTTTTGTGATTTTTTTTTTTTATTTGACATTTTATTTGACATTTTTGAATTGTCTTAAAACTACATTTATTTTATTTTATTGTATTTTTTTTCAACATATATTCATTATGTAGCAATGTTTATTTGCACTCTGTTCAATGTCTATCATCTTCCGGTCATCTTATGACCTTTTTGTGTGTGTGTGTGTGTGTGTGTGTGTGTGTGTGTGTGTGTGTGTGTGTGTGTGTGTGTGTGTGTGTGTGTGTGCGTGTGTGTGTGTGTGTGTGTGCGTGTGCGTGTGCGTTCCAGAATGGCTCAATACGAAGGTGGTGCTGTTTGCAGCCAGGCTCGTTCGCTCTGGAGATTGGAGCCTTTGCGGATTAGGTAATTATACGTAACAACACAATGTAACGTAACTGAACAAGGGAAAAAAGGTCAAATTTTAACTAGGCAATTTTCTTGTATTCGTGGGTTTTGTTCTTAAAAAAAAAAAATTAAATCATGCAGGAATGTCAAATGTACATAATAATTCAACACAATCAATTTAAGGCCTCAGCATCCGGTTGTCCCACTTTGAGAGTCCCTGGATTAAAGGACTTTTTTTTCCTCCCTTGCCTCCAGTTGGAGCGGTAGCCACTTCAAGTGGGGGCAAGCTTTCCGCATCCGCCACATCACCACAGGCCGGTATCTGGGTCTGGATGACGAAAAGGGTCTAGTGGTTGTGGACTCGGATAGAGCCAACACTAAACTGTCTGCCTTCTGCTTCCGCGCCTCAAAGGTCAATATGACTTTTTGTCTTTCATGTTGGTCATATGCAATTCGAAAAAGTTTGCTGACATTTTAGGATGTACTGAAAATGCACTATACAGGTGAAATTACTATAAAAATGCTGTGAATCATAGCGAAGTAACAACAATGGCACTTTCGCAAAATTGCAATTGCCACAATATCCTCGTTGTCATGTCACGTTATTAAAAGGTTAGTTTACATTTGTGCGATTCCAGCACTCTTTGGTGGTTAGTTTATTCGTGCGATTTCATTTGCATTAAGCATATTTTGGCCACCTACGTTTCAGACCCCAAATACGGTCTGCTGGTATCCTTTATTTGTCAGAGTGAATAATATGAATGAGCACAGATTCAAAAGAAACCAATTACGTGTAAATCATTTAAAATCGCGGCTAAAAACGATGCTCTTCTCCCATATGACCCATATAAGTGTTTTCAAAATGATATTTTTGAAAATCTTTTTCATGCCTTTTTAGTAAGCTATTTATATTTAAAAATGTCTTTCCTTAGCTTTTAAATCTCTTTAACACTGTTTGTAACTGCTTTTAAATGTCCATCCATCCATCCCTTTTCTAATCTGCTTATCCTCACAGGGGTCGGGGACCTTTTACTTTTAATTAAATAGTATGAAGCATACAGAGTTACGATGTGTATAAAATGCGCTATAAATCAATGATTCCATTTATTTTGTTTTAGTGAGTTATTTTACAACACCTTGGTACTGATAAACGTCGAAACAACGTTAAAATGTTTCATCTTCCCCTCTCGATTTGGGATCCTCTCTAAATTTTTGAATGTACAACTGTTCCAACATCTCTCAACATGCCCCCCGGCCCTGCCTTTTAAAGGCACACACATTCAGTGACTAATAAGGCACAGATAATACAGTGCTTTTGAAAGTGAGAATGGTAACCTCAAGACAAAAACAACATTTGCACCTCACATGCATTTGTTTTGGTAGTATATGAAAGAAATAAAGAAATAATAAAATGAATATTTGGTCGATACATCATGGATTTCGTTTCCAGTATTAGAGAACGAGGGGCTCTAGAGCCCCTCGTTCTCTAATACTGGAAGCTTGCATTGCATTTTTGATTGATTCTGAAATTCACCTGCAAGCCAAAATAGCCAGAATTTTCTGTTAGTATTGTTGCTCTTTTTTTTTTTTTTTTTTAATAATGTCTTTCTGTTTGGTCACCACTGAGCAGGAGAAGGTGGACGTAGCTCAAAAGCGTGACGTGGAGGGGATGGGCATTCCGGAGATCAAGTATGGAGAGTCCATGTGCTTCGTGCAGCACGTGTCCACCGGCCTGTGGCTCACTTATGCCGCTCTGGATGCCAAATCAGCACGTCTGGGAATGATGAAGAGGAAGGTGTGCTTGTTTATACATTTAATATGGAGAACGTGTTTCAAATACCACCATTAGGAACGTGATACAATCTCACTGATATATAATGAGGTCATCATTGCTTCCAGGTCATCCTGCACCAAGAAGGACACATGGATGATGCCCTCACTGTTTCTCGCTCCCAGACTGAGGAGTCTCAAGCAGCTCGTATGATTTATAGCACTATGGGTCTCTTCAGGCAGTTTATCAAGTAGGTCTATACATGAACTCCAGAAAGAGCTTTTTACCATATACAAAACCCCAAAATTAGTACCAAATCGAAACCGACTTCACTGCATGGATGTAATTTAGCTCAAGTTTCAGTATCGTATTTTCCACACTAAAAGGCACACTGGATTATGAGGCGCACCTTCAATGAATGATCTATTTTGTAATTATTTTCATACATTGGGCGCACCGCATTATAAGACGCAATCTACAATGCATCCACTAGATGGACCTATGCTCAAGGAAACGCCAACAGAACGATCAGATATCAGTAAAATTTGTTTAAAAAAGCAGAGACACAGTTCACATAACATTGACTCGTTAACGTTGAACTCTCTTGCCGCTGCTCTATTTCCGTGTTCAACTGCGTAACCCGATCGCCTTAAGTTTGAACTCTGCGTTGTCAGCATGTCTCAAGCAAGGAGCCATTTTGGGGGTCGAAATATTACCGTAATGACCATACACAAGGCGCATCGGATTTTAAGGTGCGCTGTGAGCTTTGAAGAAAATGAAAGGCTTTTAGGTGCGCCTTTTAGTGCGGAAAACACGGTACCATTTTATCAGTGAAGCATGGTGGTAGGCCATGGAACTGTTTCCCATCGTATTTGTTGATGGTATGGCTGCTGACAAAAGTATTAGGAGGAATTCAGAATTTTTTTTGGCCAATATTATCTACTCATATTCAAGCAAATGCATCAGAACTCATCAGATGGCGATTCACAGTGCAGATGGACAACGACCCGACAATGATTAAAGCTGCAGTTAAAGCACATCTTCTTCATTTCTTTTCAAATCCACCGTGGTGGTGTTTAGAGCCAAAAAGATTGGATTTGTGTCGATGGCACAATACTGTATTTGTGGACCTTACTGTCATGAGTCTAAATGGATTTGTATGCCCTGTCTCAGGGGTTTGGACTCTCTGAGTGGGAAGAACAAATCTCCGGGCCCTTTGTCTCTCCCTCTGGAGGGCGTCATCCTCTCGCTGCAGGATCTCATTTTCTACTTCCGTCCTCCCGAGGACGAACTGGAGCACGAGGAGAAGCAGACCAAGCTCCGCTCCCTCCGCAACCGTCAGAATCTCTTTCAAGAGGAGGTATGCGGCGAGCACATTTTGGCAGCATGGTGTAGACATGCAGGGATCAGAGGTGGCAATGGTACTCGCATTCTGTACTTGAGTAGATTTATCATGATCTTCGAACTGAGAGGTCCGTCGATTTATGACCCAGTTAGTGACGATTACACTACGGAAGAAAACCCTCCTCCGTCAGTGCTTAAACTGTCTTTGTTTCCCGTCTTCAGTGAAGGACTTTCCGTCTCTTCTGATGGAAAGCTCACCTCTTGATATTTGTGTAAAACAGACTGGTAAAAGGAGGACAACTCATTCAACTCCTCTACATTCTTTGAGTAAAAGTTAAAAAAAAAACCTGCAGACTGAATTGCACTTAAAGGTGAAGTGACCCCCCCAAAAAAAACCATTATTCATAATAATGTGTTCTATGGAGCTCCACATGTCTAAACACGGTATTCTGATTAATGTTGTTTTGGTGTAATATGAATTAAGCAGCAAAATCCATTGGGTTTTATATATCTCAGGGGTGGCCATTTTGCCAATTGCTGTTGACTG